ATGAAGTTATTTTATTCAAGTTCAGCAGAGAGTTAAGTGTATACATAGAATCCTTACAACAAAAATAAAAATTAAAAGCATCAAACGTGGAAATAGATAGTGCAAGACAACTAATCTACATCTTTAACAAACTTTCCAAAGAATCCCACATATTTTAGAGAGCTTCTGTAAATCTCAAGGCCTAAATTGGATCTTGGGCAAAGAAACAAGAAGCTCTAAATGTCTCCATGACACTACCCCGAGTGAAGGAAGCTAGATAAATACAAGTTGTTGTTGTCTTGTTACAATTTTAGTAAATTCAGAGTAAAGGGAAATCAACAATTTGATTTCTGTTTGCTCTCAGGACTTTGCTATGACTGCTCTGAAACCAACCACTAAGACACATGTAACGTGGGCAGCAGTGACTCACCTACTGCTAATTAGCTTTTGAGATCCAAAATCCATGTGTGGAGAATCACAGGGCACTTATTGGAAACCTACAACTGTGGTGCAGTACTGATTTTTCTTGTTCAACTTAAATTTTATTCAATACTTGTTCAATAAAACAAGACATGGAAGTTTACACAAAGATTCAGAATAGAATGATTCCAGCTGTGGCCAAGGTGGAGACAAACTGACTGGCAGTAAAGATGGAGACGTGGAGAATTTTTTTATTTCACCCACAAAACATAGTCAATTCACTTTATAATATATTCTGTGAAGCGCTGTGAGACATTTCGAAGATGTTTCATCTACAAAATACAGTTAATCCACTTTCGGTATATTCTGTGAAGCGCCTCAACAACATGATAAGGCGCTATATCAAATGCAAGGATTATTATTATTAGGTGTAAGTATAGTGCAAGAATAATTTTAAAACTCGCTGGTAATTTGCCTAAAGCATGAAGTTCAAGGTAAAAACTGGGCAGCAGTCATGAAAGTGAGGATAGGGTCATGGCCAGCTGTAATGAATAGTCTACCAACTCTCACCGTCACTACTCATTCATGAACACAAGGCATGAATCAAGTATGGCATCAGCACTCGAATAAACTTGGTGACTGTAACACTGCACACCTGTAGAAGGAAGAATACCTTCAGGAAGAAAACATTTTTTTCATAAAAAAGAATAGAACAATGTCATTCAGTCCATCAAGAATTCTCTCTCATTCAACATAAAGCCCAGTATATTGTGGACTTTGTTCATGCTCCCTGTATTTTAAAATGAATCACATGTAAAATGGGCGATCCAAAATGGAATTGTGGACAATAATTTAACTAATTGATTCTTAGATGATGCACAGGTTCTTCTTTTGGCTATAATGTCTTGGCCATCTAGATTTTAGAAGTAATTTTCTTGGTAAGCATTTTGCAACAGCACCACCTTATAGAATTAGGAATCAATGGTACATTTTGCTACATGTAGATAATCCCTATTCTCCTTTCATTCTGTTACTGAATCATAAATAGTGCTGCTTCCTATCCCTGCACTGTCATTGGTTAGAATGGAGGTCAGATGCTCTCTCACCTCCCCTAGCTTAACATTAAGAAAGTAGTTATGGCAGCTACCATATCATCGATTATACATTTCAATTAACACACATATATATGTTAAGTGTAAAACCAGTATAAAGCACATGGCCATATATACAAGTTCATAACAACTTTAGTCCCTTGCATTTTTAATGTTCCTGGTATCAGTTAAAGAGGATGTAAGATTACAAATGTATTTGAATCAGCACTGATGAAACTTGCTTAATGGGTCGACACTTCCACTGGTGCATCCCAATTAGCAGGCTTCAGTTGCACATTTATTTGAGGATTGCCAATGTTAAATGGATCTCTTTTAGTACAGAACATTACTGTAGAGCTGCTGGTTTCTACGGAGGACATTGATGCATTTCTCTGGCATGAGTTTTTGGAAATTTTGCATAATCATCTCCTTAGAACCATCGAGTAATTTGTCAAATTGCTTTGTGCTTCTGCAAAGATTTACTGATTGCGATTTCCTAAAGCTTTGCCAGCATCACCCAGCATGCTTCAAAGTCAGTGCTGACGCTGCACTCCACCCAGATTTACTGTGGACAAATCATGCTGGAGTAACAAGGCTACAGAATTTTTTTATATAAAACGTTCTTTTACTGCTTATTTTACATATATCTAGCTATAAATATTGGAATACATTTATTAATTTGGCTAAAATCACTTGCCTGCTATGAAATACAGTTTTGCCAGCCTACGTTTTAATAGTATATATATTTTGATAAGAATTTTTAAAAATTGAGATATTTTTATAAATTCTAGACTGTGCTTTAAGAATCTTTTGTCTTGTGGGCTTTGTTCAAGCAGCTCCGTAGATACATGAACTACCAGCATTTTTGACAGGTTACAAATAAACCCAGCTAAGTACCCAGAGGGCACGAGTCTCAAGAAAAAAATACACAGTTGTGAACAGCAACTGGAAGGATTCAGTAACACATAAAGGGATAAACAAATTCTGTTCTAAACTGTGCACTAAGGTGGGGGGGGTGTAATCTAAAAGAATGCAGTCAATTATCATCAGAAGAGTGGATCAGGTTGGATAATGGGAAGATACTATTGATCTGGAGAAGGAAGAAAGTGGGAGACAGAGGGCGAGAGAGAGGGAACTATTCTGGGGAACCTCCCTCTTCTCCCAAGCTGATAGGGAATGGATTAACCTTCAACTATAAGCACACAGACAGAGCGAGAGACCATAAAATACCCTGCCTAGAATTGTTCAGTGCCAGACAATGTTAAAGAATTTGAAGATGTTCAAGACGATTATATATGACTGAACTGTCCCAAGGTGTTTAAAGTAGGTAAGAGTCATGTCAGGCCATCAAAAAAAAACTATAAATGTAATCATGCATCAAGAGTCAAAAATAAACACTAGTTATAATCTTTTCCAATAATTTTCATTTCTTGGGAGAAACATTTGCTTCATATAAAATGAATGATTCAATCAGTTCTTTTCAGGACAAAAATGTTTCCAACAATGTAGCATCTCTATCCAGGATTAGTGCAACCTTAATTGTTAACATATGACAATAAACTATGATTAAATAAAAGATGCAAGCTACAATTAGCAACTTATAGGCTATTATAGGCAGATTTTTTTTATAAAGGAATTTTCTATTAAAGTAAAGCATTCAAGTCCAACCTGTAGGTGGCAGATGAAAATTGAAGGGTTAACAGTATAAACTGATGGTCACATCATTCGTAATTTTACATGTTCCATTTGTTTTATTCTGATGTGTCTGATGTGAATGTCCAGAATTCTTAAAAGGCATGTAGGCTATTCTTTTTTGTTAATAATTTTCTCTGAATTCCATCTCTCCATCAATGACTATTCCTTTCCTTACACTCTGTTCGTTCTTTGCTCACCAATCCGTTTGCTCATGATTTTGAATTTGCACTTGCTGAGATTTATTTGTATGCTCTATGTAGGCAAGTACTAGAAGTCTTGAAACAACATGGCAGAGACTGGACAGGAGCCAGGGACTTTGAAATTGGGGCAATTGAAAATGGCTGAAGAGGAAAACACTAAAATACTAAGGAAGATGGACCTATTGTGGTGAGTGAAAGAAATAAGCACCAGGGATGTACTCGGAAATACATTTACAATAACTTTGGGTGGGTGGATAATTATGCAAATTCGCATTTAGATAAATCCCTCGTTACAGGTATGGGCTTCATTTTTGTATAAATTATTTTTTAAAAAGCTTATTTCAGCCACAGTTAAAATTAATGTTGAATTCAATGCCTGAAATGTATTCTGATGTTCCAAACCATTCAGTTTCTGTCATCTCCTCTGATTATGTAAATCACTGGGGAAAAAAATAAGATCAACCATATGTTTTTCTAGAGGTGGGTCAAGCTGAGTACTGATGAAAAATCATCATATATATTGGCAGACACGTTCAAGTGCTGGAAGAAACGCTGAGACTGAAAGCAGGAGCATGCAGCAAGTGTCCTAACTCTAATGCTGCCAGGTCACTGCTCTTAAACACAAAGCACGTCTTTAAATTACCTTCATCAACAGATAGAAAAAAAAATTCCAGAGTTCCGCTGCAAGTAATCAAACCCATGATACAGAGGCAAAGGGACCTCTGACTAAACAGGGCAAAACCTGCATGACAGCACGTTTTAAATATAGACTCGCTTCGGAATAGGATTGTACTATTATGGCTAATCTCAATAAATATTTAAGTTTCTTTCCATTTTTGGTAAACTTCATTTCTAGAAAAATATTCAGGCTTCTCTTGACTATACCATCAAAAATATAGTCAAATCTAATCCATCTTGAAAGTCAAATTTACAGCAAAGTCAAATTTGTTGGATCCTTTCACAGTAAGCAATCGTGCAGACAGTGACGTACATTCAAGACTGGCTATTTGTACAATACTTTGTCTGCTCAGACCGATCAGATTACAAGGATTTCAGGTCATGTTCTGAAAATCAGAACATACTGAAGTGCAATGATTATTGCAAAATTACATCGATTTATTTCAATTTTTTATTAATCACCTGCAAATGATTGCATCAGGGGTTAATGGTGAATTACACTGATTACTCATTCTTTCCAAAATAAATTCAAGATTTTAATTTTTGACTTGATCATCGACAAAACAGTACTGGAAAGTACAATGCGATGCATCAATTTCTTTTAGCACGCTCAATAAACAGTAAACTCTCATACTCTTAAGTTGACTGTTCTAGGCATTCTCACTCTGGCTTATAAACTAGCGTCTGCAGCAAAAAAATAAACCCTGCTCTTCTTCTTAAAAGTTATCGTGATTAGTTTCACACTGAATATGCCCTACAATTTGATGCACCCAGCATCACAAAGTAAAGCAATCGAGGTTTAAATGGGTCAACCTTTTATTCCCCTCTCTATTCCATGTAATATGCTATTAGTGCATATGTTGAGCTGCTCCTGAAATAACATTATGTTTATTCCTTGATGCAGCGAGGACTGTGCAAATACAGTTAAAGTACTTACTATCAAATGGAGACATAGTGCTCAGTCCTCTTGCTCCATATCATCCATAATTCCATCCAGGTTCTTTGCTTGCTTCTTTTTCGGAGAATCTATTGTGAAGAAGCATGGAGAAAGAACAGAGAAAAAAAAAGGAAGATATGAATTTGAAGACAATCAATATGCAATAATTAGATTTGAATCCCCCCACCCACACACACACACACATTTCTTGAGTCTCATTTGCTCAGCGGTAATAAATAGGCCATCCATACAATGGAGTGGGAAATTGGATTTGGGGAGTAGTCGTACCAGGATGCCTAGAAATAGAACAGTAAGTAGTAAAGCATGAACTGTCTATCATTTACATCATTAACACCAACAATAGAATGCCATGCTCCTGCAGATGAGCAACTGATTAAACCAGCAGCCATTAGTGCTAGGGCGCAGTGAATATATTTGGATTTTAAAGCAAAGGAAACGAGCTTCGAAGAAAAACATTACACCAACGATTTGGCCTTAACAGAGGCTTCAGTTGCATTGCTCAATTCCTATGAAAAAAAACTGGAAGGTTTCCTAAATATACAATCATCACTACCTAGAGTCCCATTACAACAACAAATTAGGTGCAATCACCTAATTATGTCATTAGAACTGACATTCGGCATGATCGAAAGTCAGATTACTTTAATTTTTAAATTCAGATCATTCAAAAGCAATTCCTAAACCTGATCTAAAGACGTAGTATTAAAATAACCAATGGAACAAAATGGTAAAACTGATGTTCATGGAGATATTTCACCCCCTCCAAAAAAAAGGAGAAAAAAAGAAAAAACATTCCAAAATAGGAAGAAATCTAGACAACAACAACTTGCATTTATGTAGCACCCTTCACATAGGGTAGTGTCTTGGGGGGCTTTAGATAGGTATAAATCAGGTACAAATATTATTACAAATTGAAAATCTATTGCACAAAATGTTGTCCTTGAATTTTTCTAGTTACACATTTTTATTATCGTTTTTAAAAATATATATAACAAAAAAGACACTCAAATTAGCATAACATTGACAGAAAGTGAACGTGCAAATACAGAAAAGATGAACGATCGATTCATTCATAATTTTAGGTTTGCACTTTGGGACTCACTCCTTCTTCCATTCTATTTGATGCCCTGCTAGAAGCTTCGAAAGCAAGCTGCAGTAGGCTTCAGTTGTTTTATTGGTTTTCGCCTAAACATTGCAGCTCTAGCGTTTTCAAACCACCTTTGAACAATTAGTGCTTGCAGATGCATGAACAGGACCACAAGTGCAATTCCCAGTATGCATGCTTGATGAAGAAACCCCATTGTGTGGTGAAGCAAAATTACAATTTGATAGCAAAATTAAGATTTTTTTTAAATTCCAAGGTCAAAGGTTTGTGATTTTAGGTACACATCTGTTTGGTATATTCCCATTTTCAAGAGGAATCCAGAGCCTTGATGAAAACTAGTGCCTCATTCAAAACCCAATAAAGCATTCTTAAGTTATTGAGGTGACAAATTAGTGGTTGAGGACAAGGAACTGAGACACAGTTCTGTGGATTAATTTTTCTCCATAATGTCCATTTTTGAATGGATCCAAAGCCTGAAGACAGAGAGAGACCACTTCCGTTCAGGGCAAAAACCATGAGGCATTTGGATGTTAATGAGGTGACAAATCAAGTGTTTTAAGAGACATGAAGGATTTCAACCGCAGAGGAACCGATTTTGAAAAGAATCAAATATCCGACGATATGTCGTCAGCCAAGAAATGTTGTTACAATTCTGATGTAAAAACTATTTTAAAGTTAATAATGCGATACGGTAATGTTTACAGTGAGATATAACTATTAACATGTCAAGGGACTGGAGTTGGGAATAAGAGTTCATGGAGGGGGAAGCAAAACGTTAATGAAAGAACCTGTTATTTTCTGGCAATATGCATGTTTAAATACTCAGGACATCATTAATTTAACTACAATAGCCCATTTAGCTGCAAACATTCAGAAGAAAAATAGTGGTGGACCTCATTCTTCTTTGATGGGCAGTTTCTTCAATTATATTGTCCAAAAAGGATAGCCTGTGCTCCCTGTATATTTCGCACTCCATCAGAGGGCCAGTCAAAGTTTGACCCTCCAGCCATCAAACCCGCTTTTTGGAACACTCTATTCTAACCTTTCCACATCTCTTCAGTCTTTCAAAAATCTCCTGAAAACCTGCTGTTTTTAGCTTTTGTGCTACTGCCTCTAAATTTCTATGAACCTTGGCCAAGAACCTTCACACCCATTGTTAAATGTTCTGAGATATTCTTTTACATATACAGTATAGCACAATGTAAATCCAAGTTGTTAGTGTTGAGCAAAATAAGAAGTGTACTTTTCAGTTAGCTAAAATATCAGGTTGCCTGAGCTCCAGGTACAAGCTAGGACACGGTGTGATGATCAGAACATTACGTTAAGTCAAGTCGACAACTGAATTATGGAAGGTTCTGAAAATAATCTGAATTACTAGTAATACCCTCTGGTCTAACAAGGCTCCATATGACAACGATTCCATCATAGTAACTTCAGTAAAATGCTGTGCAAAAGTTCACTGACAACAAGGGAGGAATGTTGGAAACCATGAAATCCCTATTTTAAAAAAATAATAATCTTTGCATTTGATATAGTGCACTTTGAGACGTTTCAAAGTGCTTCACAGAATATATTGTAAAGTGGATTGACTGTATTTTGTGGGTGAAGCACGGCAGCCAATTGCGCACAGCAATTGTTTTTGGATTCTATATGAAACCTACTAGAGAGCCTGACTGTAAACCACCTACACGTTTTAAAACAATTCAAACAAATGCCCAAACCCTGACAGAAACTGATGTACTATGGACTGCTTGAATTTTTCTTCCTAACGTACTACATGGATGAAGCCGTTATATTTTTGACAAAGCAAATAGTTCTCCGTAGAGGTCTCCAAGCGCAAAACTCAGTTATTCTTCTAAGTTCCTCCAAGAAACTTTTATTTGGCAGTCACATTTCCTCTCCCGAGGAAGTATCTTGATATTTTTAATCATGCACTTCACTACTGATCTTAACAAGAAATCGGTTTGTGCTTCTGATTTGCTATGTCTTGAGTATTTTTGTTCCAGTCACTTCTGATTCAAAATAACGATTTAGAGTTGAACAGTTTAAGTGAAACTATGAACAATTCTTAAAACTAAAATATAAATCATTTTACATTTTCTTTTTAAAAAAACTGTTTAAACGCATCTGACTATTACAAATAATTGATAAAACACAAACCTACATTAGATCAATTGTACTACCCACCTAAAAATGCTTGCTTATTGTGCAAGACTCTTTACCAACTTTGGAAATGTAGATATGTGAAAAAACTAAATGAACTCAATCTCTGCCTTGACAAGTTATTAAACTTATCTAAATATTCATTTTTTCAAAAAAAAATTAAAATTATTGTTCTCCTTGATCCTTTTTGGGGGATATTCTGCCACCATTTTATGATCATTATAACACTTGCTTGCATTACAACTTATTACATTTCCTTTTATTTTGAAAACAATATTTGGAGTGCAATTTTCCTCAGCAAAGTTCTGTTTAATGCAGATTTAAAAGTCACAGCAAGATGGCAATAGCTGTACTAGGAACAAACAGCTGGTAGTTACACATTTAACGTTAGCTCCAGACAACACCGGGTATGTAAGCCTTGGTGGCATTAACCAACAAGCATATTGTTGCACTTGACATGCTGCAAAATGTGTAAATAAGCTGTTTTTCTCCTGCAAACTCTACAGCTGCAACAGAATGATGATAAATAATATGTAAATAGAAGAAAACATCAATAAATTATAAATTAACTTGACAGGACAGTTTTGAAGAAATCCACTTTGCATTTCTGATTGCAACTAATGATTTTTCCATTAATGTTGTGACAGAATGCAAATGTGTTGTACACAGCCCAAGATAATGCTTTTCATTTATATCCCCTTTTTCCCTTCAAAGTATCCTTATGCTGTGAAGGCAACTGAATGGATCACACATTTCTCCTCGCTGCCTGATGTTAATACTGTTCCATGCTGAGCAGTAGTTACTTTGTCAGTTTAACCACAAAGCATCACTTCTTATTTTGCCAGATTGTCTGTTCTGTGGATATATGGGGACATATTGTTAGTGGAACATCAAAGGCTCCATCACCATGTTTTGCGAACTGTTGATGTTGTTCCTGTAAAGGAATCAACTGTCGCATGCATCTTATCTTAAAGAAAAATCTTGTTTTTTTGGCTGCCTGAATTTAATGTTGGGTTCCACACGATGCAAGCTCCCCTGGTGGTTGAAGGTGGTCATTGCCCACTCACAAACCAACTTTGAACAATTTAGATTAAGTACCTAAAAGTTAAGGGTCTTAATTAATAATCTATACCAAGCAGCTTCTAAGGATTTTTGATTCCTTCCCAACAGATCAAATACTCATTAAGCCCCTTTATGAAGAGGCGAGTACACATATGCAGAGATTCACCAGCATGATCGTAGTTAGCCTTCGATCTCTGCCACTCATTTCCGAGGCAAAATTACTCTCGAGTGTGATCTGAGATGACCATACAGGAATCTTTCTTGGGTGCCTGCCAGCAAGACTGAAATGGATAGTCTATAATAAGCCAAGTCTTGTCACCCACAAAAAATAGTTTTGGCCAAAAGCCCCCAAAATACTTTGAATGTTAAACGTAGCTTAAAATTGGTGACATGAGGATTGCAGTGAATTAGAGAGGTCTACTATGTAAGAATGTGGAGCACGAGCTGGTCACAAAGGTAAGGAGAGATTCGTCAAATTAAGCTAGTTGGGGATCTCAAAGGTACTTCATGTTCGAATTGCTATAAATAAGCTGCAGGTGGTAAATACAACTTGAAGCACAAATTCTAAGAGACAACAGTATATTCAGAGTGAAAGCAGTTAGAGTTGCATCGTTTAGGTGCTGGAATGCAGGAAAGATTCACAGTGGCCGATTAGAGGATATTACATTGCAGTGAAGAAAGGTATTAATATAGACAGCAAAGGACAAAAGTTTTCTTAAGCAAGACACAAGATTTATT